GGAACACACAAGACACCTCTTGGTCCAACGAAACACAATGTTGAACACTTAGCACGATTCAAGACACCAAAGTCCTACATGGGTACCTACCATATAGTTCTAGACGTACGAAACATCAAGGAGACACTCAAATAGTTCCACAAAAGAACATCGGGAAGCCAAAAGACCAAATACCGAGCCAAACAAATCACGGGGAACAAATCCCATCTCAACTCCACTGTGTTCCCCGCGGGTGGACCACGGGTAGGCTCCCACCCGTGGTTCCGCCCGCGGGTACACTACCCACGAGGCTACATGTTCCCCGCGGGTGGGCGGCGGGTGGAGCTCGACCCGTCGTTCCGCCCGCGGGTACATCTACCTGTGCAAAATAATCCCTTCGGGGATTTTCTTCTCCAAACACAAATTCAAGTCCAAAACATGCCAAATCTCACCAAATACAACAAAATGACTTGAACCATGGAAAATGCCAAGCAATGGCACAAAGGAACCCTAAACACAAGCTCTAGATATGGAATATCACAAGACAAATGCATAAACCCTCACATTTTATAGCAAAACACATGTAGAATCCAAGAAATCACATATAGGTAAGCAAAATAAGTTTTGTAGAGCATGTGTTACCTCTTGAAGACCAAAAGACTTCACTTTACACCACAACAAGCTCTCCACAAGGCTTACTTTCCAAACCCACTTCAAGATTAAACCAAAAGATCATAAAGATCCTACCTTTAAGAAAAAGATAACTAAGATGGAACCAAAAACACAAGATGAACTTAGATCTTACCCTCCTAGATGCCCAAATAGGTGAAAGGTTGAATCTTGGAAGCAAATCTTGAAATCTTGACAAGGGTCTCAACTTGGCTTGGAGAATAAGCTACACTTCTTTTCTAGAGAGAAGGTAGAACTATTTTCTAAGAATTGTAGGGAATGAAATGAAGAAGTCTTCTAGGTTAGGTTACAATACTAACTCTTGGTGAAAAGACAATGATACCCTTACTAACCCTTAGAAAATGTAAGGAACAAGGGAACTCTCCTCAAAGCACAAGGTACAACACAACTTAAAGGTTGACTAGTCAAATTCTAGTCCTTGAGTATTAAAAATCAGGATTTTAGGAATTAATTCCTCAAATAAAAATAGGATTAATTACTCAATTAATCCATGGATTGAATGTGGATTTTTGGGGTGTCAGATGTCGGGTGTTAATCTACTGTGTGATGGTATATTATACCTTGAGCCGTTCTTGTGAGTCGTTGTATCTCGTGTGGTCTTGGGATGTGTTCTCTTATCTTGTTGTGAGTGCTTGGAGTCTTGCGTTGACTTCTGTTCTGGGTTTTGAACATATATATGTATATTCCGTTTCGAAAATGATTTTACCTACGTATATCCTATCTATGTATGATATTTCACATGTATTGGTGGGTTACCAGCATTATTCGCTGACCGGGCGTCGTCCCATCTTTTATGTGTTTCTTTCTGGTGATGTATAAACGTGAGCGCGGTCTAGAACCTGCTAGTGTAGTTCCCTCGTTTGAGTTGTTATGGCCTGTGTGCCAAGGATAGACTGTAGTACTTTGGTTATGTATGGATTTTAGATTATGAATCATGCAAATGTTAGCCTATGCGTTCACCTCTAGGTGAGCGTGGCATAGCACCCTTTCATTTCCAGTTTATATAATCGTTTTTCAGTCTTCCGCTGTGTTTGATGTTTTGATTAGTTATCTGCATGTTTAAGGCTTAATTTACATGGAAATTAGGGGGTGTTACATACATACTTATTGCTTCCGCGTCTGTGTCTTATGGTGAGCTGTCGTAGGCTCCCAAATTAAAACCTTACAAACGTAGTAGCGAGAGTAAGGATCGATCCCACGAGGAGTAACTAGTTTAAAATATGTGCTCAAATTAAAGGAAGGGGGGTTTGGAATATATCGAGAATAAAGATAAAATAAAAGAGAATTTAAATAAACAAGAAATTTAATTGAACGAATAAAGCAATGAAAATAATATATCGAAAACACTTATAATAGGAGACCTTGGTTAGTAAAGATCCACCACCGGAATTCAACACTGATCATTGATTAATAAAGTAATTAATATGCAATTGAATATTTGTCGTGAAATTATTTCATTTCTGTTTTCCCTTAGTTGTAGGTAAATAAAGCACAAGTGGTTTAATTATCCCTAACTACTAAATAATCTAAGACAAGCGCTATAGATTTAATTTAATAGCAGCAATAGGAACTAGGAAAACCGACAAACTAAATAACACAAGCACAAGCGGTTGCATTTAATTTAGGAAAATATTCTACCCGAGACCAATTATCACTAAGCCGTCAATAATTAACCTCAGTTGCTACTGAATATTAGAATAATTTGTAGCACAACATTATCTAATATAGCAAATAATTATATCAAGTAAATAACTAGTAGGCCTCCCTAGCAATTAAATGATACAACTATTCAAATAATTTAGAAGAATATTTAATACTCAAAATGCATAAAAACATATATATAATAAAGTTAAATAAATAACCTTACAGCGTTATGAACTCCGGGGCTTCAATTCACTAAACCAACTAGAAATTAGCCACAAATGGACATTGATAACAACTTCAACGAATACTATAGAGGAGGGAAGAATGAACATTTTACAATAGGAAACTCCTACTATTTATAGCATTCTAAAAATAACCCTAGGCTATTTTCTACCACCATTCCCTATTTTTGTGCCATGTCTTGAAGACTTCCGCTGCTGCCTCGCCATAATATGCGCACGGCGAATTGAAGTTGTCGCGCCCACCTGCACAAAGACAAACAAATTGACATACAAATAAGTATTATAAATAATTATGGAGCATAATGCAGTACGTATTATATATATACATACTATAATGCATTCTATATATTATATTATATTATATTATATTATATTATATATTATATTGTATATTATATATATATAGTATTAAGTACGTAGTATTTACTCTTATAAATTATATATTATATATATTATATGTAGTATAAGAATAGATTATACTATGTATATAAAAAGAACTAATTATTAGATAATATTAAATAATTAATATAAAAATATTATAAAGATGTACCTAAAATATGAGCGTAAAATATGCCCATCATCTTAATTTCCCATTGCACTACGACTTGAACTAGTTCGCATACTGTTTCAGATAATTTGGTTACACGTTTACCATATGGTAATTAACACCTAGAATTTTATTGAGTTACTACTTCCGCAAAACTTCAAATAATGTCTACGTACTTATCACCAATTGATTTTAAGTAGGATATGACAACCAGATATCTAAAGAACTCTGTGGTTAAGCGTTCTTGACTTACAATAGTGACAGGATGGGTGACCCACTAAAAGTTAGCATAGTGCAGTGCTTAGATCCAACAATTAGTATCAGAGCCAAGGTCAGGGGTTTGAATCGATTGCGAGGCGAGAACCGAGTCCAGTCTAGATGGTATGTGGGAGTAGGTTGGGCTAAGTTCAGTCCAAGGAGAGGGATGATTAGCACAAAGGGTAAGGACCGAGTCGGGCGTTGTGGTTTACCATGGAAGGATGTGGTTAAATGGTTAATGTCCACATACATATCACCAATTGGTTTTAAGTAGCATATTGCTACCAGATAGCCAAAGAACACTGTGGTTAAGCGTGATTGACTTACAACAGTCACAAGATGGGTGACCCACTGGAAGTCAGCATAGTGCAGCGATTAGATCCAACAATTGATATCAGAGCCAATGTCACGGGTTCGAATCGATGGCAAAGCAAAAACTGAGTTCAGTCCATATGGGATGTGGGCGTAGGTCGGGCCAAGTCCAGTCCAAGGAAGGGGATAATGGTCACGAAGGCTAAGGACCGAGTCGGGCGCTATAACTTACCACGGAGGGATGTAGTTAAATGATTAATATCCACGTGCATATCAAAAATTAGTTTTAAGTATGATGAGTGACCCACTAGGAAGTCATCATAGTGCAGCGCTCAGATCCAACAACTGGTATTAGAACCGAGGTCACGGGTTTGAATCGATGGCGAGGCGAAAGCCGAGTCTAGTCCTAGATGGGATGTGGGCGCAGGTAGGGTTAAGTCCAGTCCTAGGAGGGGATGATGGGCGTGAAGGCTAAGGACCGATTCAGGCATGCTGCACAACTAGGCTTAGTGTTCAAAGGTTGCGGCATGTGCTGGTAGGGATGTTCAATCGGTTAACCGAACCGAATTAACCTAGGTTTTTTTTCTTTAACCATTAACCGAACCAAAGTTTGCTCGACAGAATTAACCGAACCAAAAAAAATATTTCGGTTAATTGGTCGGTTAACCAATTAACCAAACTTTTTAAAGCTAAAATTTAAAATTCTAAAAATACCACCTAAAATAATAAATCCAATTAAAATAAAATACATATCATAATAAATTCATAACAAACTATACAAAAACATGAATTATAAACTCCAAATATCCATAACTTCAAATCTTCAATCCAAAATTCAAACTTTCAAAGTCTAAACATCCATAGTCCATACTCCATACTACAACATACAAAATTACAAAGATTATAAAAACACATTCATAGTCTATAGTCCATAGTTCATAGTCCAAACCATAAATTAATGTCTTCATCAACATGCAAAATTAAAATCAAAGTTATCACTTCATCCCATGATTTCCCTCACACCATTCCGGTCTCCATGATGTGTACTTATCCTACAACTACTTTCAAATATTAATTTTTACCTTAGAAATTCAAGAACAAACACCTTACTCACAATTCACAAGGTAGGTTGACTAGGTTCCATTGCATTCTATGAAGAATCTAAAACATAAAAGACAAAAGAATAATATATTAAAATTTTAATTTGTGTGATGAAAGTAAGCTTATAAACAAAAAGAATAGAACTACATACCATTTTCAACACTTCCAAAAGTCATTTAATTCTTGAAGCTCTTCAAAAACATCCAATGAAGGTGTTGAATTTTGAATCCAATCTTGATAGCACACAAGAGCTTGAGTCATTCTAGGAGTTAAAGAACTCCTAAAGGAATCAAGAACACGTCCTCTGGTACTAAAGGTAGACTCAGAAGCAACAGTGGATATTGGAATAGCTAGCACATCTCGAGCCAACAATGACAAATAAGGAAATCTAGGGTTATTAACTTTCCAGCACAACAAATATTAAAATTATCCGTGGCTCCGTAGCTTCACTGAGATACTTATCCAATTCCAACATTTGATCTCCAGCACTACCTGATTGAAGTTTGTGCTTTACAAACTTCTCTTGTATACACTTTTTCATCCTAGCTTGACATTCTCCTATATTTGAACTTGATGTTGGAGTGGAACTAGATGACACAATGTTATTTGAAGGCTTATAAGCATTAAACAATTCATACACCGCATCTTTAACGTTTTTTGTCATATCCTCACCTTTTGTACCATCAAACATATCTTTCAAAGCAAATTCAACATAGCAAAACTTGTGTCTAGGATCAAGAATAATGGCAACAAAAGTAAGCATATTCAACTTCATTCTCAATGTTCCCCCAATATTTGTGAAATTTATCTTTCATCTTCATTTCCATCAAACTAAATTCATTCTCATCTGAAGCTTTGCACTCTCTCAAAAAACAATCAATTTCAAAAATCTCATCAAACAAGCAATTGGAAGTAACATAAGAAGTCCCGAAAACTCTATTTGTAAGCTCATAAAAGTGCTCCAAGAATTTTATCAAGTCTCTAACAACATTCCAATCACTTTCAATAGGAACACCATCCCCCGATTCAAGATCATCTCTAAAATTCTCATCTTGTAAATCAAACATATAGAAAGCTTTTTCAAAATTTTGAGCACAATTTAACATCAAATATGCTGAATTCCAACGAGTACTAACATCAAGGCACAACAAACTTTTGCTTTCTATATTTTCACTTTCAACATACTCCATAAATTTTTGCAATCTAGATAGAGATTGCCTTACATATCTCACTGCCCCTCTAACACGAGGGGCTTACTTATTCAAAGCTTCAACCCTTCATTCACAATCAAATTCACTATATGTGCAACACACCTCATATGCATATATTTCCCATTAAAAATATTTCCATGTTTACTCCCAATTTTTTTTGCAAATAACCTATAGCAACATCATTTGCACTTGCATTATCAATCGTAATAGTGAACAACTTATCAACTCCCCAAGAAAGCAAGCATTATTCAATCAATTTTCCAATAGCATCACCTTTATGACTTGAAATTTGACAAAAATTTATGACTTTCTTATGCAAATTCCACTTATCATCAATAAAGTGAGCCGTAAGACACATGTAATTAATTCTTTGCAAAGAAGTCCATGTATCCGTAGTTAAACAAACTCTATTACATGAGTTCCTCAACAATTGTCTACCTTTGATCTTCTCATCTAAATACAGTTGATAAATGTCTCTTGTGATTGTAGTTTTTGAAGGAATGTGAAACCTAGAACATGCAACTTGAACAAATTCCTTCAAACCTTCACTCTCCACAAACCTAAAGGGTAATTCAGACTTCACAATCATATTTGCTAGGGCTTTTCTAGTTGCTTCTTGATCGAATTTCCAAGATGAAATAGTCACTTCCCCTTCATTACCCTTATTTTGCAAAATAATTTGAGATTGTGACTTATCAACATTATCGGGATTTTGATTGCATGCATTCGTATGATATTTTAATGACGCAGTTCCATTTTTCTTTGGATCACAAGCATATTCTTTCCCACAATGAACACATTTGCATGATGTAACACCAGAAGATGAATCAATTTTTTCAAAGTGAGACCAAACTTCTGACCTTGGTTTTATTGTTTTTCTCTTTTTTGAAGGTTGACTTGCACCTACGGTCTCACTTGTTGAAATAGCAACTTCATCTGATGACGGAGTCGTATAAGAAGGAGAAATGTCTTCCATTGACATCTACAACTACCATTCAAAGAACAATTAAAAATCAAACATAGAAATAAAACATACATTGGACAGTAGCATTTAAAGAACAATTAAAAATCAAACATAGAAATAGAACATACACTAGACAGTAGCATTCAAAGAACAATTAAAAATCGAACATAGAAATAGAACATACACTGGACAGTAACATTCAAAGAACAATTAAAAATCAAACATAGAAATAGAACATACACTGGACAGTAGCATTCAAAGAGTAATTAAAAATCAAACATAGAAATAGAAGTATAGAACATACACTGGACAGTAGCATAATTAGCATTCAAAGAACATACACGGGAAACAGTAACAGAACATACATTGGATTGACTGGAAAGTAGAAACTTAAAAAAAAATAAATTTTATTATTAGCAACAAAAATAGCTCACACAACAAAACTTGTTAATACTGAAGTATTAATAGTCTAGAAAATACTTTCAAAAAAAAAAAAAAGATCTTGTACGACTGCTGCTGTGAAGTCGTGGACTGCAAGACTGGTGGGAGTGGTGGCCTAGAGCAGACAACCAAATGGACACGGAGTCACGGACTGGTCGATTGGCCGCCGGCAGACGAGCAGACAACGGACTGAAAACTGGCGATTGGCTAAGACGAAGAAGAACTGTTGTAGTGCCGCTGACTGCTGAATAGAACTGGACCTGGTGGTGGTTGGTCGTCGGACGCCGGTGGAGCGCTGACCAGACGAGAGGGAGTGACGATTGACGAACTATGGGGACTAGCCGACTGGGGAGTGCCGAGTGTGAAGTGTGGGAGACGAATTAGGGATTTTGTCTTCAGATAAGGTTACTTCTTTAAACAACTACTATTTATATTTATTATATATATATATATATATATATATATATATATATATATATATATATATATATATATATATATATATATATATATATATATATATATATATTACAAACTTCGGTTAACCGATCTTTCAAACCGAATTAACCATTAATCGAAGTTTTCAAATTCCGTTAACGATTAACCGAACTGAAAAAGTTCAGTTCGAAAGCGGTTAACCGAACTTTGTCGGTTCGGTCGGTTAACCAAAAATTCTCCGAAGTTTGCACACCCCTATGTGCTGGGAGACGGATTGTTGCCCGTCGGCTGGGTTGGTCAAGTTCAGCATCTGCTCGATTCGAGACATGGCGTTGTGGCTTACCATGGAGGAATGTGGTTAAATGTTTAATGTCTACCTACTTATCACCAATTGGTTTTAAGTAGGATATGCCAACCAGATAGCCAAAGAACTTTATGCATGGTTATGCGTGCTTAACTTACAACAGTCAAAGGATGGGTAACCAACTAGGATGTAAGCATAGTGCAGTGCTGAGATCCATCAATTGATATCAGAACTGAGGTCACGGGTTCAAATCGATGGCGAGGTGAAAGCCGAGTCTAGTCCCAGATGGATGTGGGCGTAAGTCGGGCCAAGTCCAATCTCGAGAGGGTGGATTTGTGGCGTGAAGGCTAAGGACTAAGCCAGGCATGCTGTGCAACTGGGCTTGGTGATTAAAGGTTGTGGCAGGTGCTGGGGGGGGGGGGGGGGGATTGTTGGGTGTGATAACTCAAAATTTATTTTCCTAAATTCTATTTTATAAATACCAAAATAATTATTTTTACTCCTTCAAAATTTTTTCTAAAATAGGTGTATGAATTAAATATTCCAAATCGTGATTTTTATTAATTCAACACTAAATATTACCCTATTTCAAAAATCCTAAATTTTGGGTATATCTATGTATCAAGTTTTGACCCAAAAAAAAAAAAACAAAAAAAAAAAAAAAAAAAAAAAAAAAAAAGTCAATCTGAGTGAAACCTGAGAGGAACCCGTGAAATCTGAGTCAAATATTTTTACTTAAAAACATCCTTATAAGAAATCTATTTTATCTCCTAAGATGTATAAACCTATTTTATTACCCTAGCTTAGTGTAAAGTGATGAGCCTAATATTTTATAAGTCAAAGGACCAAAATGCCCTTCTCAGCCAACATCTTACCTAGGGTTTCATACCCTATTTAAACCACACTGTTCACCTAATCATCTTCAATCCCTCCATTTTGCCTCCTTCACTCTAAGCAGAGGAAATCTGGGAAAGAGAAGAGAAAGCACTGTAAGCCATTTTCCACCATTCATCTTCATCTTCTACCTTCCATTCATCTCCTGATACTCATCTTTCACCCTTCTATTTCATCTCTTCTATCTTTTAGTGTACGAATGAGTGGCTTTATGTTATTGTTTGAGGAAACTAAGAGGTGAGAGTGGAAGCCATTGTTGCAAGAAGAGGAGGGATTCACACTAGGAATAGCAAAGCTCAAAGGTATAAATCATGGATTCCTAAATCTATTATTTTAGCCATTTGTTAATAGATTTCTTGAGATTTGATGCTTAGAAATGATTGATAATGCATGGTAATATGTTTATTGTGTGTTGATGATTGATGCGAGCTAAATTGTGCATGTTTTAAGTGTACACTTCAAGAATTAAGACATTTAGTGATGCGAGCCAAAGCTCATACTTATCACTACTTGGCTTTAAGAAGGATATGACAACAGATAACCAAAGAACTCCAAGGTTAAGCGTGCTTGACTTACAAGATGGGTGACCTACTGGGAAGTAAGCATAGTGCAACGCTAAAATCTATCAATTGGTATTAGAGTTGAGGTCACAGGTCCGAATCGATCTAAATAGGCTAGGCGTAGGTCGAGCCATGTCTAGTCCCGGGGCAGGGTGGGGGTCGACCAAGTTGGCCCCAAGTTCAGCCTAATTTATTTAAAAATAAGTACAATTATTGTGACTAAAGTGTTGTCACTAGATCAATTTTTTGTAATAACATATTTGGTCTCAAATTATACATTTATTGTGACAACTATCGTTATCACTCAAATATTATTTTTAGTGTAAGTAAATATTGTCACAAAAGTAGTAAGTAATTGTGACAACTTTCCAAAAGTCGTCACTACTACAATAGTGACGGAGAATATAGTGACGGCAGGTGACGACTTCAAAAATTGGTCACTAATTTCAATAGTGACCAAAATTGATAGTTTCGGTGACAACTTCTGTTGTCACTAAATGTAAAATTTCTTGTAGTGTGTTAATTTGATTATGTTTGTTGGGTTCAAGTGCATGAAATTGATAATTTGATTGCATATTCCCTTGTTTTCTCATTAAGATATGGTTTTACACTTGATTTGAATGTTTTACGGTGTTTGTTAGTGTTTGGAACCATTGTAGATCAATTGCAAAAGCAAGAGAAGTTCTAGGACGAGTTTGGAGCCAAAAAAAAAAAAAAAAAAAAAAAAAAAAAAAAAAAAAAAGTCAAGGTGAAGCTAAGGAGGTGGCTAAAATGCTTCAAAGAGAGCCAAAGATTGGTACTTTCAATGGATTTGATCACAAGAATCAAACAAGGGAAAAGTGGATCAAAAGACCGAAGAGTTGTAATTCCCGTTGAATTCGGCGACAGCTTAGTATTTTGATCATATCTCATGCTAGGAATGTCCGATTCAGGTGATTCTTGCGCCATTGGAAAGAAGACTCGAAGGGCTACAACCTATAACTCAGAAGAAATCTCGACGCGTCGATTCCCAGACTCGACGTGTCGAACATTTCCAGTAACGTTTCATCTCGCACAGATTGGCGACATTTTGGTTTTTGGACCATATCTCAGCATAGGAATGTCCAAATGAGGTGATTCATGCGCCATTGGAAAGAAGACTCGAAGGGATACAACTGTTATAGATACATCAAAGTCTAGATAATAAATGAAAAGGGTCAAAATAAGATTGCAAACCGTACCTATTGCACTGGGCGTGATTTTTGGAAACTTCCTAATTTCATCCCCTATATGTTCCCACTATAAAATGGCCCTTTTCCTGAACACTAGAGGAATTAATTCAGACTTTGGAGACAAGAAATATGAGAATTGAGAGCTTCAAGTTGTCTTTGGAAGCAAGGAGGAGGCCAAGGAATTTGGGAGAATCACTTGGTCAATTCTTATTCTCTTAGATTATCTTGTAACTCTTTATATTTGATATGTATTGCATCTTAGCCATGTGTGGCTAAGTTTTCTTAGAGATTCTTGGGTGATAGTATTTATGAACCTATGTGTCTAGTTCTTTAATGCTTTAATATATTATTATTTGGGTTTAATACTTGTGTTGCAAATGTGATTTGTATTGTTGTTGTTAGTAGTTAACCGGCCGTAATTACTTGCTTCATAGCTATCTTTGTGTCACAACGAGAGTTGGGCATAATTTAGGGCACACACAATTGCACCTAACTGTTACACCTTGAGAAAGGGTAATTTTGTTAGGGAGTTTAATTCTTTATTATTGCACATCGAGAGATGATAGTAATTAGGAATTTATTATGATGCTTGTTCTTGTTTTATTGGGTGTTTATACCACGAGAGTGGATATCCACTAGTGTTTGTGACTACGAGAGTAGCTCTGTACCGCTTTGCATCCTCACACCCGTTTAAACCCAGATTTAGTATAAACCATAGATTTGGCACTAGGTGATTAAATACTTGAAACCCAGGGATATCATCTTCTCTCTATTGTTTCACAAATTTGTTGCTTTGCTTTACTTAAATTGTTTTATGCAAACATCCATGATTATTATTAGGATTAGCTTCATAAGAATAGATTAGAAGCTAGTGATTGATACAACCACTTTCCTGTGGATCGATAACCTAATACTCCAGGTATTTATTTGTTTGAAAATATACTAAAATCAATGATGTTATATGATTTATTCATGGTTGTTTGGAGGTGTTTTGTTGAGGTCTGTGATGTAAAAAAGGAGTTTGTGTCATCTGGTGCGTTACAAAGAAACTCAATGTCTCAGCTTTCGGTTTGGCCGTGAGGGCCCAGCCAACGGACCTAAAGAGGATCCGTTGGCATGGTCCGTTGATTAACAGACCAGAGTGACGGATCATGGGGTGATCTGTCACTCCAATCCATGCCTTG